AAGCCAGATGAATCAGAAAGAGATAAATATCCATCTACTTGCTTGAGGCTGGAAGCCCATAGTCTCTCATGAGGGTGTTTTGAAATTTTAGGAAGATTTTTAGAAACGCACTTCTAATTAAGATTACGTTAAGAGCTGGAGGTAATATGCTAATCAAATGCATGAATCAGATGGTGAAAAAAAGGAACGTTTCACTGGCTAACTTTAATTTAATAAATTTATTCTTTCACTAAGTTATACTGTAATGCTGCCTTCCATATAACTGCTGCAGTGATGGTGTATTTTTGTTGGCAAAAAGTGAAGTTAGCAACACCCAGGTTCCCACCCTGGATAAAAACCAATAACATTTTCCCATTGGCTTTTGGATTATTGTGGGAAACATTTTATCTAAAGTATAATCGTCACAAATAAACACTGTAACTTTTATGAATTTTGAAGCCTAAATACAATTGCCAGAATTAAAAAGATAAAAGCTAAAGTTATAAAGGCTGTAAACAAACTACACCACAATTTGAGCAACAGTTTGAGTGTATGAACATAATCAGTCTGTAAAAGCGGACTAGTGAGTCCTCCCACTCTGTGTGATGACGCTGACAATGTATGTGACCATCTCTGTAGACCCATTTAGTCACTTGTTAGCAACTGCCTTTTTTAAGACCCATAAAGGCTGATGTATTTTACACACTAGAATAAAATGTAAAAATATCCTGAGCTTGTGCTAACCACATTTCTTATTTCAGGAATGTAACAAAAACGCAGTCAAAAAAACTTTTGACTTTGGGACAATAACACTAAAAGAGAAAACCCATTTCCTGGTTTTAGGACTCATTCTTGCAGCACTCTAAAAAAGTCATTTTAAGTCTGACTTACATCTTACAAAACTTGTTTGAAGCAACACAAACATGGCGGTACTCAAGGATAAACATTCACATTTAAGCAAATAAAATGCATCAATCAGTCAAGATTACATTACTATGCAACATCAAATGCTTCAGATTTGTTTAGCAAATGTTTGTGGAGACTGATATGTAAAACACTGTAAACGATCTCTTAAAAACTTGCAGAACATCCTTGTTTATCCTCTAAAATGTGCTTGCTAGGAGACTCCTCTGTTGACAAACAGAAACTGCTCGGCGATCAATGAAATGCCTTTATAGATAAAGATAAGCGATATCAAGCGGGACTATCCGACATCCAACTTTGAATGGAACAAATTGTGAATGCAGAATGAAGTTGATATGATATATAATTGGCTCTAATCTCTGTAAGTAGCTTACCAGGCCCACTTGTGTTCCGCTAGAGAAGTGTTTGTTTACCTCTTTAGTGTGTCTGGTACACGGCAGTATATCCATCATCCTGACAGCCAATCAGGTTAGGGAGTCAGAGTTACACGGTTACTGTGACATCCAGACACAGAAAATGTTTAAGAGGAAAACAAAAAAACTGAAGGGAATACAAAGGTTTAAAAAAAAAATCACAAACAATCTGAAAGGTATGTTATTGGGTAACCTCACTTACTTTTGCAGCATTATTTGAGGCTAACCAGTGTTTTAAAACTGTTCTCTAATATATGAATATTCAGTTAAAGGGATAGTTCACCCAAAAATGAAAATTCTCCCATGATTTACTCACCCTCAAGCCATCCTAGGTGTATATGACTTTCTTCTTTCAGACAAATACAATCAGTTATATTAAAAATGTCCCGGCCCTTCCAAGCTTTATAATGGCAATGAATGGGGGTCGAGATTTTGAAGTCCAATAAAATGCATCATAAAAGTACTCCACATGGCTCCATTGGGTTAATAAAGGCCTTCTGAAGTGAATCGAAGCATTTGTGTAAGAAAAAATCCATATTTAAAATGTTATAAACCATAATCTTCTGCTAACTGTCATATGCACGTACTTAAGCCCCGTACTTAAGGCCCGTAGGGGGAAGTCGTGGCCTAATGGTTAGAGAGTCGGTCTCATAACCCAAAGGTTGCGGGTTCGAGTCTCGATTGTAGGTGGGAGGAGTGAATGTACAGAGAGTGGCATTCCAGCGGATGACGTAGGCATAGCGTAAGCTCCAGTGAGATCATGCTAGTCTTGTAAGAACCAAGTTTTGTTTACAGCAAAGGAAAGCAGTCTCCTCTTGGCTTATATTGAAATCCTCTGACATGTTTCTTTACAAATCCTCATTTTGAACTTCTAATTCATGACCAGTGTTTTGTTTTGCTCCCTCCTATGTGCTTCCGCATTTGCCTACTTCCTACGTCATCCTCTGGAACACCACTTTCTCGTGAATGTGCGTACGACAATAAGCGCAAGCTAGAAATTATGGTTTATAAAGTTTTAAATATGGATATTATTCTTACAAAAACGTTATTAACTCCCCGGAGCCATGCGGAGTACTTTTTATGTTGGATGGATGCACTTTATTGGACTTCAAAATCTCAACAGCCATTCACTGCCATTAAAAAGCTTAGAAGGGCCAGGACATTTTTTAATATAACTCCGATTGTATTCATCTGAAAGAAGAAAGTCATATACACCTAGGATGGCTTGAGGGTGAGTAAATCATGGGGTAATTTAAATTTTTGTGTGAACTATCCCTTTAAATCAATTTTCATATATGTCATTTTTTCTCTCTTTCATTCTTTTTTTCTTTTGACTATCAACATTTCTGGACACTTTGTCCAGTTCTATTAAAGATAACGTTCTCATTTATTTTCCCGGAAAAACTACAAATTCATAAACAATCTGGCAGCCAAGCCACGGACACAAAGTGACAGAGCTCCAAATCAATACTCAATGCTCCTTAATGCTGTTTTACAAACAAACACCATTATTCATCCGTGTAATTAAAATAACTTAAGTGTTCCAATGCAGCACACTCAATTTACCTCAACACAATATTTTCCATAGAGCTTGATGTCTGTTTTGGCATTGTAAAACAGTCGAGCATTTGTCTGAACTTTGGCTTTGAAGAACTTGGCTTGAACTTCAAGTATACTCTTGACAGAGAACCAGAACTGTGAATCCACAGCCAGAAGATATGAAAGGAGTGAGGAAAAGAGAGAAAGGGATATAAAATGGGAGGGATACAAAGTATACGCACCAATCTCCCTCAAATGCCATGATGAATTACATCAGACGTGTCCCTCGCCTGCAGAGGACTAAATGCACACCAAACAACAAAACCCTACAGCCTCTAGCTTCAACTTTGATATCAATCAACACATTCCCATGCCCACTATAGCAAAACAACAACAAAAAAAAGCTCTTGCAATTCATACTGGATAATAAGTGCAAGAATCTGTTTAGCACACATCGAATCTCTGTTGCCATAACCTTAACCTTTGTGAATGTTGGGATGTGCACACTCACACAATCATATCCGCTTGAAATTACTGCACACAAATATGGATACATACAAGATAAAGGGTTAGTTCACCCAAAAATGTCAATTCTGTCATTAATTACTCACCCTCATGTCGTTTCAAACCCGTAAGACCTTCGTTCATCTTCGGAACACATATTAAGATATTTTTGATGGAATCTGAGAGCTGTCTGACCCTGCATAGACAGCAATACAACTGAAATGTTCCCAAGTTCAGAAACGTAGCAAGGAGATCTGTAAAATAATCCATGTGACATCAGTGGTTCAACCGTAATTTTACAAAGCTACGAGAATAATTTTTGTGCGCTGTTTACGTCCAGCTGATACTCTCCAAAATGGCACTAGGGTGACGCGGAGGAGACAAATTGTTGAATAAAGTCTGTTGAATTTTTTCTTTTGCGCACAAAAATTATTCTCGTAGCTTCGTAAAATTACGGTTGAACCCCTGATGTCACATGGATTATTTTACCGATCTCCTTGCTACGTCTCTGGACTTGGAAACATTTCAGTTGTATTGCTGTCTATGCAGGGTCAGACAGCTCTCAGATTCCATAATAAATATCTTAATTTATGTTCCGAAGATGAACGAAGGTCTTACGGGTTTGAAACGACATGAGGGTGAGTAATTAATGACAGAATTTTCATTTTTGGGTGAACTATCCCTATAAATGGCCAATGTCAAAGTCACAGTGTTACGGTGCATTTTCCAGCACAATCTATTAATAAAAATTATATATCTGTGTATCAAATAAAGTCAAATGATGAAATACTCTTATAATAAAAAATGGCATGACTAAACCATAGCAGATTCCCTTCATGTCAGTTAATTTATAGCAACATTCTGTTTTTCTGTGATAAACAAGTTGATAAGTAAAGGTTGGAATGACGTTGCATGACATCTGTTTTGACCTGATAGTTAAAAATCCCACAGAACACAATACAGAGGAGGCTGACAGTCTAACGCGAGCTTCAATATTTATACATAGCAGGCGGCATGTTATTATTTATACAGAGTAGGTGGCATGTCATTATTTGGCTGCACTTTGAGGCACTTTAAACACAACTGCTGAGCTCTGTAATTTGACTGTCCAGAACTATGACAAGTATGACATTTCTATGTAAGTATGACTAGTGAAAACTGAAAATGAAACCATGCAATTGCAAACATCATGTGCTGTCACAGAAATGGATGCTTTTCATCACTGGCAAAAATGTGCATATGGTTCTGGCTGCCGTTCAAGAATAAAATGAAAAGAGTAGTGTAGGTACATGTGTCTTAAGACATGTCCATTTTCTTTTTGTAATCTTTAATAATTAAGATTAGAATTTGTTTTCATAGAATGTGTTTATTTGCAGAGACAGCAAGAGTGGCAGTGTTTGGCTTCATCACAGCCAACACAATTATACCTATTGTGCTTATTCATCAGCCAGCCTTCATTAATGGCTTTGGATGGTGAGGTTAATGCATCCTTGCATCCTCAGCAAACCTATCTCACTAAATTCCAAAAACTAGAATTCAATGCATATTATGGAGAAAGAAAGTACATTTTTAATTTATTCACAAATTGTATTCTGTTTAAACTCACAGAACATTTAATTTAAATTCATGAAGTGTGCATACCTGAAAAATGTGACAAAGAACTGCACCAGGTCCATGATGCTGCCGTGTTGAGAGAAGGATATCTGTGAGAAAAGAAGAAAAAAGGTGTTAGAGATTGGATTATTATTACCCCTGTAATATATCAAGCAAAACTATTGTTGAAAGATACCCAAATATATTTATAACGGAGCATATAGTACTGTGAATCATAATTACATAGATTTCTGCATTAATGTCTCCTGAAACAGTTTTTGTCATATTAAACATGCATCAGTTCACAGTGCAGTTTAAAAGTCTTATTTCAATAAACATTTTAATCACCAAATGGCTTCAAATTTGAAGGGAAAAAAAGCAACACGCTGGGCTAGGTGACAAAAAATAAACTACTGTTGAACCATGTTTCAAAGCTTTCTGAAAAAACAGATGGTCGGTAATAAACTTGACATATAATTTAATCAAGTGTTTATGTTGTTGATCTAATCTAACTTGAATTTGTTGTGCACCTTACACAGCAAACTTTATGTAGAATAATAAATGCTTCTAATCAAAATTATTTTTACTTGACATGTAAGTAGTTTTATTACATATTCATGGCATATTAATTTTCTACACTTTGGCAAGGTTCCTTAGAAAACAAGCAACATTAATTTCCCCCAACTGACGAATAGGGACTTGAATTATGTGCATCTATGGTGCCTTATTTGACTTTGTTGTCAATGTGGAATTTTATTTATTTATTTTGCCTATAATCTTAAATATTCTAAAAGACTCTAAGGTTCAAAAACACAAGTACTTTTGCAATGATAACAGCTTGCTACTATCTGCATTATGGAATAGTATAATCCACATAATGGAAAGCAATTAAAAGTAAACTAATTATGCAGTGAAACATTTATTCATATCACTACTAAAACACTAAGCAATTAGAACTAGCAGTGTTAGCACAATATTGAAACCATTATCATACTCAAAATATACCCCTTATTAAGATTAACACATCTCAAACATAAAGGTCTGAAGTGCACTAAAAAATAAATTAATAATAATAAAAAAAAAATCTTACATCAATTAAATAAATGCTTAAAAAAACCTACAATTTACTTTATAAGTTCTAATAACTTATACTGTTATACTGAACAATTTAAAACAATGCAAATTAAGTAAACAAGTAAAAATTGTAAAGTTACGTAATCCAAATAGTTTTTAATTACAATAACATATTTCGTTATAACAACTTGACACTTAAGTTCAGTCAAGACATTTACTTAAAATGTATATAAAAATAGATTCATGTAAATGAACTCAAATTAAGTCATGCCAACTGTTGCCTTCATTTTGTAGGTTTTACGAACATTTCATTTTTTTTTACATGGTGCATGTACGTCATGGGTCCCAAGGTTAGACCACATAAGGATGAAAGACCCCAAAAGCTACTAGGAGAAAAAGTCTGTGATGGCTAATTCATTACATTACGTAACGTGATAATACATAACTAGACAGTGTTTGAAATCACTGGGGTTCAGTAGATTAACATTTCTCCCAGTTCTCCCTTACGTAAGCTGTACAATAACCACAGTGTGTTATATAAAATGCATTTGATTTCTCAGCTGTTGCAGTCAACCCCACAAATAAGATCCAGTGTTCCTGTCCATTCGCTGATTGCTTTAGCTACATGACCGAATTATTTGCCTTTTCAATATCTGAGGCCACTCACATCGATTGCTTATGAGAATCCAATACATAATTCTCCCAACTAAACCTATCTAAATCTGAATCCGCACTCCATCTCCATCTAAAAATCGACCATTTGATAAAAGAAAATGTCATTTTATGATTGATTTGTAAATGTCAGATGTTATCACAGTGATTTATTTTTCAAGAAGTGGCGTGCTTTAAAAGTTCAGGCGACAAAATGTGTTTACTTCGTTCGAATGAGTTTTGGACTTGCACTTTTCTTTTTCTTGGAGGACACACTATTATCGACTGCAAAAACAGAGGCAGGTATATAGTGAGGCAATTACGCACACACATGCGGACCTTCATTGTCAGGCTACGCAGCTGTGTTCATTTGTGCCGGGGTGCACAGCCGGTGATCATGAAAGGTGACTAATACATCCATGAGACATTTCAGACCGTCGTAAATGTGCTTTTATTTCTGGATGGAAGAAAGGGGCATTAGGATAGATGGAGAGGAGCGGATAGGGAGGTGTGTGTGCGCAGGTGGAAGTGAGGAGGTTGGTCAGCCCTTAAGTGATTTACTGGCATTTGCTTTTTGCAGTGAAAGTGCATGACAATCAAAAACTGAAAGAAAGAAAGTGTTGAGAAAAGCTGATTTTTCTTGCCAGAGGGACTGGCCATTAAGCGAGCCGAGCTGGTGGCTGGAGCTGGTACCTTACTGAAGTGCTCTTGACTCCTCCCCGCTCCTAAATTCAGCCTTTTACTGTAAACATCATGCTGGGTTGAGAGCGGTAACACACGAATAGAAAATCACTATTAGTAAATGCGCTCCAGTCCTTAAGGCAAGACACCCAGGGTGAATAGGGTAAAAAAAAAAAATTATCTGAACATCGGAAGAAACCAGGTTCAAAATGTTTAGTTTCATTTTGTTGACACATTATACTATATAGTTTTCTAAGTAGTTTTATAAATCGGGCAAATGATATATAAACAAACCCCTCTATAAAAACCATCAAATTATAGAAAGGAGTAAATTGTAAAGCCAAACAGCAAAAAATAAATAAATAAATAAAATTTCAGTACATGACGAAACAATGTTTTTGTCTGTAGCGTTTGGCATTAAGGTATAGAAAGTTTTTAATTAAAAATACACAAATAATAGCAGTGAATTTGAGAAATAGGGTTAAATAATAATATATGCATAGAGTATGAGATGAAGACTCATATTATTTGATTCATAGTACATGGAGTGAGTCACCCCATCATGGGTGTCTCCATTGCGCTGCACATAATCACATTTCTCACAACTGAGTCGCTGAAATGTGTTGCAGATTTTTGGGTTTTTCTTGTTATTCTAGTAAGAATCAAACCAGATTTAATCAACAATATCTGGTTATTTATCAAATTATTTATTTGTTTTACTGTGTTTTGAACAAATAAATACAGTCTTGGTGACCATCTTATCAAATCAAAACTTCTAAATTGTAGTGTATATATATATTAGGGGGGTAACGGTTCACAAAATTCACGGTTCGGTTCGATACGACACTGGTGTCACGGTTCGGTACATTTTCGATACGTGTGTGGGGGGTGCAATTGCTTATGTTTCCAATGCAATGTTGGAAATATTTCTGTTTTAAACCATGAAGGCGAGCCAATGGATATCACACAAGCAACGTGCTAACTTTGCACAAGTGTTATGCCAGTGAACATCTTATTCTCAGTCAATTCACGCAGAAATTGAAAGTAAAAACGGAATGACAGAGCTTTTGGCATCTGACGCCGCATATTCTCTCAGAGACGATGAGAGACGAATCTACTTCAACATGCTGATAACGGTATAGCTAACTGTTTTAATTTATTCCCTTAATATTTCTCTTGTGGCCCGTACATAGTGAAAAAAATAAAAACGTATTAAACAGGTCGTTTTTGAAAGTCGGTGCTTGAAATAGGCTAAAGCTTTTTATTTCATTGATTTTTATTGGACAGTGTTAATATTTTAATTATAGGCCTATAATTCATTGTATAATAGACCTGTTCCCTTTCAGTCGGTCATTACGAGTCACGTTGTGACCGACGAATTGGGATCTCGCTTAGAGAGACCAATCCACTTCGAGTGTAAACTAAACGAGCCAATGCACATTGGCATGTGATGATTGCATCCAGCTGCCGCTGATCACAGCGTGAGCATAAAAAGGCAGCCGGTGCAACGCATACCAGCTTTTCGCTTCGGAGACAACATCGTTCTGCTCCTACCAAACTGCTTCGTGTATGACGAGTCTAGCGCGCTCTCGGGAGCTTTTTGTATTGGCGGACGATGCTTCAGCGGTGGTCGTTCCTGAGTCGATTACGCACAGGGGAAATGGCCGCTTGCAGCACGACAGGAGGTAGTGCAGCCTGAAGTGTGCAACCCACTCGACTCAGGAATGACCACCGCTGAAGCGCCGTCCGCCAATACAAAAAGCTCCCGAGAGCGCGCTAGACTCGTCACACACGAAGCAGTTTGGTAAAAGAGCACATAAAAGCATGTAAAAGAGCATTTCCCTAAAAGAGCCAATTTCTCTAAAAGAGTACAATAAGCGGGTGCCTCTTTGTAAAGATAATGGATCATCTTTTTAATCTCTGCCGTTTCCCATTGCGGGAAGATGACCATTTTGGAGCTGCAGGCCAGGCTCAGTTTCCTCCAGGGGGGTGGAGCTCCCTCGTCCCGGGCCCTCGATGTTGGACGATTGGTTTCTCGGGGTGGCTTGCGCTGGTTCTCAGCGCCCCGCCTCGGTGCCTTTCTTCCCGGAGGTGCATGAGGAGCTCACCAGGTCATGGACGGCACCTTTTACTGCCGGAACCCGACCTGCTGGGTCCTCCTCCCTCACCACCCTCGACGGTGGTGCAGCTAGGGGGTATATGGGGGTCCCCCCGGTGGAGCGGTCAATTGCGATGCAGTTGTGTCCTAATACCGCCTCCCCTCCCGGGTCTGTAGGTACTCGTCTGGCCTGTACGGCAATGCTTATATGGCCTGTGGAGAAGCTGCCTCCACCTTACACGCTACGGCATTACTGCAGGTTAAAAGCGGTGCTGTGGAGCTGGGCGTAGGCAGGCCATCCCACCTGTCCAGGCCCCCGTCAAACCTGGCGGTGAGCGAAAGAGCAAAAGGCCCTGGGACGGGCCACCCAGAGAGGGAGGAAGCTGCTCTTTGGGGGATGGTGAAGGCACCTCTCCCTCCCCCGGAGAAGGGCCGGGTGGAGAATCTGGAAAATCTCGACTTCAGAATGGCCGAGTCCTGAGGTGAGCGTGGCAACACCCAAGTTACAAGTTCCAAGTTACACCGGCCTGTCACCAAACCTTCACCCCGTCGTCAGACCTTGCGTTCCTCCGGGCAGAAGTGCCCCTAGAACAGGTCTCCAGGCAT